AAAAGTGAGGATGCTTTAAATAGATGTCCTTTTTTAACCTGACTTCATATAAAATTCAGGTATATTTAGGGGGTTTGTCATGCTGCAGGATGAATTTGGAACCAATCAGATGTTTCCCTGCTGTATTACATGACAGATAAGAATCTAAAGTCCCTAAAATTTCTGTGCAGTTCTGTAAACAGCATGTATGACTGTCAGACAGTGTTTGAATTAAATAATTCTTCCATTTTCAGACTTAAAGGGGAAATAAAAAGAGAAGTGTTGCAATAATGATGTGAAAAATCAATGGGGCAAACTGTCTTTACATGTGGTAGGCTTTGTTCTTTGTTCTCTCTCTACTTAAGGGTACACAATTTATACAACACAGCAAATGTGTTAAGACAAGCATGTGTGTTGTAATTACAGAATGACACACTTGAGAAATCAGCCGACTGCAATGCATACTGATTGCAATGTGCCCTTGCAGCCTTTAGCAGTAAACTTCAAATTAATCCCAGATTGCAGCAGAGTTTGCAATAGGAGGTGATATTTTATACATGGTGGAAGGCGGTGCTGTATTTCATATGCTTTTATGGCCATATAAAGCTCCTGTGTGCTTTCTTTGGATATTAAGTAAGGGGCATGGTCATTAACATGAAACCTAAAATAGAAAGTTGGAACACTCTGGAAGTTTAAAGCAAAAAGAGGGAGGGCTGTTTCATAACGGGGCTTTTACGGTGGCATCTCGCTCCGTGGCTTCCACCGCACCTTCTACTCAGAAGCATTGCAGGGGTATAAATCTTTAAAGAACTGCAACCTGCATCAAGCATGCACACGGAGCACTGCGCCTGTCCCACCCACTCGGTGGGTAACAGGAGAGACGAGCTAATCAGAGACGATCCGTGAGGCCCAAGGTCTTGACGTATGGGACTGTGTGTGTGTGTCTGAGTGTGTGGTTGTGAGTGTGCATAGCGGGGATCAGGGTGCAAAGGTCATCATACAGTACAGCAGCAGGTAATTAATCTTATCTCTGTAATGCACGTCTGCAAGGTGACCCGGAGAGGCAAAAAAATAAAATAAAAGACACATATAGCTTCAAATACAGGTCAAGGTGACATTGCTTTCTGGCCTGTTTTGGTCAAAGAAAAAAATACTTTTACACAAACACTCTGCAAAATAATTTTCCAGATATTGGCACTCAACATTGAACCTTGCAGGTTAGTTGATAATCAGTGTTTTTTTCTTTATTTTTCCCTCTTTATTTACCACATTAGATCTGCAAAGTCTTAACTTAAAATCCAATACTACATCACTAGTTTTTGTCGATTATATTTTGTAACTTTAAGCTGAATTTCCAAAGGTTTTTGTGCAAGAAGTATCACATTTCCCACTGAAATGTTGTGCAGTAAAATGAGAAAGTAGCATAAAATTGAAGTATTCAAGTAAATTATCTTAACACTATGTCCGCAGTCCTTCATCTAATATCATCACCCATCAATTACTGTAGC